TGGATCTGGAGTAAACCGGTGGTTATGAGCTCAGATCTGCTTGAACCGTCTTTAAACCGTCGCTAGATCGCAAGAATGCCTGCAAAAAACTCAACGCCGGAGGTGTTTCCGGCGTAGAGCCTCCGACGCTCAAGTCAGTATGAGATTGATGAAGAGAGGCTGCGCAGCAGCTATAGGAGAGAGTGGAATGAATGAGAGTTGGCGTTTAGGGTTACCTCATCTCCTTTATATAGGAGTGAATACTTACGCGAAATGCCCAAAGTACCCCAATCGGTGGACTTAGAAGGTCCAAAATGCCCTGGTCGATTCGTCTCCCCTTAGTGCTGAGTCACCGCAAGATTCCTTCTTACCTGTCATGATATGTAGGATTTCGAGTATATTGCAAGTATGATGAGTCGTCATCCTATCTTTGTTACTCGAGGTATTCGAGGTCGACATCGAGATCATGAAAGTCGACTCGTGGGTACGTGCGGGTTCGGAAGCTACGCTCGACTGGTTCTGTGAGGCGAAGTCGTCCTCAGAGAGTCGTCTTAGTTCAGTCGACTCCTGGGAGCCCGAGAGCTGTACTCTCGCTGTTCCTCTTCTTAGTGATGTCGATTAGTGAAAGTCGATAGGTTAAGGTCGACTTGATGGGGTCGACTAGATCCATCTCTGCTTCTTCTTGATTGCTCTTAATAGAATCGTCCTTAGGGAAGTCGATTGGGGCATGTCGACTGATTCATGTCGACATGAGGGTAATTCGAGTGGTTCGTTGGTTGAGTAAGGATCTTCTGGACCGGGTTATACTTATGTGGCTATATCATTTTCAGTGACAATGCTAGCGCGAAAGAAATTTTTCCATTGTCTCTCTCCTTGAAGACTCGACGGTGCACAAAAACCAAAAATAAACAAACAACTGAGTACTGAAACATGATCTTTAATGTAAGTCTTTTTGCATGAATTATACTCACAAGGCTAGTCAGCGATGCGACAAAGGCCACGATGTGGATATAAGGCATAACCACTCAACGATGAATACTTGAAATGGGCTAATTATAGCGATGTATGTAACAACATAAACCACTATAGAAATGCCCATGAAGGCAATTAAAAGCTTCGCAATAAAAATCTAGAGAGAATTTGTTAGAAATTAGTAAAATAACATAGTAAAAAACGGTGATAATTTTCCTAGATTGTATATTGTTGTTGCATACCCGAGCATTGTGTGGCGCACGATATATGTGCAAAGACATACATCATCTCAATGATGCATCTCGTCGTGTTGATGGATATTACGACCTTGAGTGACTCAAGGCACCCGTAATAAAGCCATAACGAGGCTGAATATAGGTCCAACATGTACAATATGGGGGAACACCTCTCTATAGACGTACGACGATAGTAAACCCTACATAAAGTGGGCCTAATAAAACGTTATAAGTATAATTTTAATAATAAATTTTTAAAAAGAATCTAAACAAACTTATTTTGTTTGAAGAGAATTGTTCTATAATTTTGGACTGAAGAGATTGTTGAATACTTGAAACTTGAAAGGAAATAAGGAGTGAGATGATAAGTAGACGTGGGGTAATAAAAAAAATAAAAGAAAATAAACAACCCAGAGAAAAAAGAAAAAAAAAATAAAAAAAATAAAAAAAATTGAAGAGCTGGTTTTACGTTTGGAAAACTAACAACGTATAGTTACTTACGTTGGAGCTATAGATAAGTGCGGCGAAGAAAGAACCTGATTCATATAACCTGAATTTAATTAAGATATAAGCATAAAGTGACATATAAAGAGGATAATCTACATGTAATAATATATGAAATTGTAACTCTTACCTAGGTAGCTAAATAAATCCCATATGCCGGCATATCACAAGAAATGAAAAACATATATGTATTTATAACATATAAAGTATTAGAATATAATACCACTTGTGAGTTGTCCTACATTGTTTATACAGGGAAAATAGGTCTAACTTATAAGCTTAGTGGGCTATCCTACTATTGTCGTATGGATTTGTAACAACATAATTAACGGGTATATGACATAGATTAACGCGGCAAATTGCAGTAATATGAAATTTTATTGACTGATGAATGGTCGGTGTGTTCTTGACCGAGATGGAAATAGTACCCAGTGCCCCCCATCACTGAGGGAATTTCAGGCTATATATAGTAACTTTTTGTTACACATTGTTCGAGGTCTCCAATCATTCAGGATTTGTATGAAAAGTAGCTTTAAATGGGCGGTTTCAATAGTTGGGCCCACGATCATCTCAACAGTTGGGCCCACTATCATCATGACGATGGGCACGAAACATAAGGAGGTCGCGTAGGTGCCTCGTCACCTGCCTCGGTGTTGATGAACTCGGTTACTTCTAAGGTGGGTTGTGTAGTCGGCAAACGGTTGTAAGATTTGAGGGAGTTTAGTGACTGCCTGAAGTCGGAGAGGACTTGGAACGTGGGTTCTGGCAGTTTGCCATGTCGATGGGAAGGAGCAATTCCGAGATCACGTGTCATGTGTAAAAGAGAAAAGTTTCTGGAGCTATTCTTCGTCTTTGTCGTTATATTAAACTGTTGTCATTGCGTTATTCGTAATCCGATTTACCGAGAATAATCTACTAATTACCAAGTCGGTGGTCAACACCTACCTTCACCAATTGGTTTCGGATGGAACCGCAGTATGACTCATCTACGTGGGACCGCACCCGTTTTCTCTCAATTCTTACATAAATATTAGATTATAATCTAACAACAGTTTTGTGTTCTAAGTTGTAATATTGAATTTATTTTACATAAATAGAAGAGAGGTTGCTCCAATTCATGTCTAGATAATTTAGTGAAGAAGAAAACATCAATTAGCTGCCTGAAGCCATAGTTTTCAAATCCGGCCCGGAAATCGATCCGGGCAGGTCTCCGGGTCACCGGTTCAACCACCGGGTCAATTACTGAACCGAATAATTAATTTTAAAATTTTTAATATTATAGATAGAGTATTTTGTCATATAAATATACATAAAAATAATAAAATTAAATATTTTGTATATAAAATTTGTACATTAAAGTGTTAATAATATGTATATCATGCTAAATATTTACCATATAAATATATATACATAGTTTTATTCTTAAAAACTAGAAAAATAAAAAATATATATATAGGGGTCGAGTCAACCGGGTTGACCCGACTGGGTCAATGCCCCGGGTCGACCGGGTTAAGACTGGGTTGGCCGGGTTTTGACCGGGTTTTTTGTTGCCCGGTCCGAATAGCCCACCCGGACCGATTCCGGTTCCAGGTCGACCAGCCGGACTGGTCCGGGTTGAAAAACTATGCCTGAAGCTCTAAATTCAAATTATTGCTTTCTTTAATCAGTTTATTTTCTATTAATTAGGAGGTGAGTGAAAAATATTTCATCTTTTATTTTCTTGAAAATGGTTATGATTGATTGAAAATATTTTTTTACTATAGTTTGAAAAAAAAAATTTGGAAAAAATGTTTAGACCCCTAATTATTCTATGTATTACTAACTAGTAACCGTCTGAACTCTGAACAGCCTAGACTCCACCTAGTCCCCCAAGCACCTAGAAGAAAATATAGACGCCCGAGTGCCACCTAGCACCTAACTAGACTTTTAGTTTAGTGATCATAGNTAATAATAATAATAATAATAATAATAATAATTGATGTTTTTGGCCCAATTTCACACTTTGGCTAGGACACCAACCACCTAATATAAATATTTCAACTTAAAAATAATTTTTTTTCTTCAACAATGCTATCCTTTTTATTTTTAAACTCCATCTTCTCAGCTTTTTCTAATTTCATTTCACAGTTTGAATTTTACAATTTGCATGATATCCATCTCCCCACCAAAAAGAATATACATCATGTACTTGTATTTTACAATTTTGTATGAGATTCATCTCCAAACCACACAAGAATATACGTAAACGAGCAGCTTGACATCTTTAGTCCCTGTAAAAAGAAAATTCATTCACGAAAGGATCCAAAATCCGAAGACCAATTTTCTGAGACCCAACCATGAAGTTTTACCACCGAATCTTTACACGTTCAATTCTATACATACTGACGGCCAGCCAACTTCGGCACACAACCTCTAACTAAACAAATCCCAACCAAAACAAATCCTATGCCTTCTATATAACCTGACTTATCTTTCAACCAATACAGTAACTCGGCAGGACTTTGTTGGCGTAAAAAACGACCAATATGCAGAGCAGCCTAACTCCAACTAGGCGTTTTAGGACCACGGCTCAATTGTTCAATGGCTGTCTTTCCTAAATAAAAAATAACTGAAATAAGTAAAATTTTAATTAAATGAGATGGGTAAGTGTCTTCAAGCATTTAACTAAAAAAATTCCGAAAAATTTTAGTAAAACTTTGGTGATACGACAAATTTTTCCGAAAACGTTTTTAGTTAAATTTTGAGAGCATTTAAAATTTTTCTGAAAAATTTTAGTTAATTTTTAGTGATACGAAAAATTTTAGAACCTACCTGGTGTAATGCTCTCAACATCTTCAAGCCTGGAAGAGTCATCTCTCTCGGTGCCAACAGATACTGTTACTGATATAGACTCGGTATTATTATTTGGTTCTGTAGTCGTGTTTGAATTTTGGGACTTTAGTCTGAACTGGGAATAAGCAGATTGCAGTTTCTGGTGAATCTCATCCACTCTCCCACACTGTTCGTCATTACGGTCCATTTCAATAGCAACCTGCAGGCAAAACGAACAATTACGGATAGTGCACAAAATAAGAAAAAAAAAAAAACGTCCCAAATATGTATATTTATGAGATCTAATGATCTGTTTCAAGATTAATATCAAGTTATATTTACCGTAGCTGGAATCTTTTTAAAGACGGGGTGGAATCTTTGCCTGCAATACTCGTGGAAGAGGAGAGTACAAATGATGAGTGGAAAAGTGAAGGCCGATGCAACTGGCGATTTTTTCAGGCCAAACACACCTAAAGCTATTATTTGGGTCAGCACTAGAGAGAATATGGTCGTGTTGTGCACGATAGGCCAATACAGCCCCACACTTTCGTACTCAGTTACGTATACGTTGAGCAACTGCACATATATTAGCAAAAAGTAATTAATTGCTCATCAAATCTGCAAATGCAATGAATTTGGAACTAAATGGACGGAATTTAAAAGTCTGGTGTAAATGTTATTCCTACAAGTCATTTAAAAGAAAACGGAATGGAACTGACTTTTGAAACTGGCAATTATGCTAAATTTTACAAACATTACCATCAAACGAAACTCAATAGCAATAGATAATTCTCCTACAACTTAACAAAAATACAAAGTCAAGGGAAACTCCATGATTATATCTAGGAACTACACTACTTTGAAGATATATTAATAAAAATGTGATCACAACACGGCAAACAAATTTAGGACTGTAAAATAATCCTAACCTGATTGCGGTAGACTAGAAATGCAAGGACAAAGTATACCAACAAGAAGGGCAATATTAGAGGTGCAAGTATGGAGCAAGTGAAACCCAGGAGACCAAACAGAAGAACTCTTGGAACCTCTGTGTGGTAAGGGAAAGTATAGGTGCCGTAAGATGTATCATCCTTATTTTGAAGAACATATCTATAAAACAAGTTGCAAAGAAGAGGAAATGGCTGAATGAGTTCAACAGACAAGCTTGCCCACCCTGATGTAAGGACATAAGTCATGAAAAAGGTGGCCTGCAATATTAAAGCACCTTTGATTAGATTAAACTATGATGTCACATGTTCAAATAAATGGAAATTTACACATTGTTCATCTCTCTCTGAAGAAGAACTGAATTTTTTTTTTTAAAAAAAAACAAAGTATTACCGTTGCTGGGACAGCTTTGGCTAGCAAATTTGGTATATGTTGTGCATCTCCCAACTTGGTAATTGAAACTTGATAATGGTCTATAGCAGCTTCTGTTAGAATATTTGCAAAGAATACATTCCATATGACAAAGTATATAACTTTAACGCATGTACTTCTTTTCCGGCCGCTACGTGATATGGCACCCTCCAATGTAGAGAATAACATCATTAAAGGTGGGACAATGTATAGGAAGATTATGAATACAACACTAGGCAGATATCCACTGATAAGCTGTTCCAAAATCTTCCTAGAGAAAAGTAAAACTGAACAAAATTAAATGGGAAGAGATAATTTTTTGCTAATTTTGATTTTGTAGAGTGCAAACAACCGAACACAAGGCAAATAGGGATAGAATATATTTATTTGAGATATTCAATTAAAATTCTTATTTGAGCCAGTTGAAATTCCTTCTATTTGTATGCTCAAAAGTTACGTTTCACTCATATGGCATATACAAATACAATTTCCGAAATTCTCCTAGCTTGGAACCAAACCAAAACTAATACACAATATCAGCTTCAAAATGTATGGCAACAAAAGTGGTTGAATGACTCTTAATGTTATTAGGATTCCTTACCTCTGTACAACTTCCTTCAAGAATGGAAATATCTTCTTAAGCTTATCGAGATGAACAAGACTTTGTGTAAAGACCACAGGAAAAAGGAAGAAGGTCACGAAAAAAATCGAGGCCACAATAACTGCAATCCGGCGGATCCAAAGGAGTCGATATGGTACACACAAATTTGACCAAAAAATGTCACATGGTTCTGGAGCAGAGTCTGTCACCCATGACATTGCATTTGTTGATTGAAGAGCCTCTGAAGCAACCAATGCAGCATAACGAGTCCTGAAGAAAACCATAGCTGCTCCACACTCCTGAAGAAAGTTCAAAATGTCTTTAACTCTTAACACCAGAGAAATGTCCCTCAATTGAATCCATCATCAAACTCAAACTAAATTACTAAAAGTTGATTACACGAGCGCTATTCAGAGTTGTCCAATAGACTTGGCACATTCTAAAAACGAACAAGAACCCCCTATGAGAGTTAATAGACCCCTTACTATCAAAATAACCAAATGACTTAACAATGGTCCCTTTCAAAATCAATGTCCTCAAAATTTTATTAATGTGCATCTCAGAAGTCATAGATTGAAGGACGTTCAATATATAATCCTGCAAGTTTGAAGCACAGTGTGCTTTTCTCAAAAGACATGTTACTTATTATTCGTGGGCAAAGACAGCTCAGTGGACTGAATAGCATGTATAAGTTGACAACTATAAATAACTTAATAGTTGTGGCAGTTGTAACCTTTTTCCTCATATCTGAACCATCAAAGATGCTAACTCTTCTAGGGCTTGTACGGTCTTCTGAAAGGACCTTAAAAGATGTTGGAGTGCTTCCGCAAAAGCCACATCTCATGAAACGTGATCCACAATACTGTTCCCGATGAGGGGACTTGAGCATCTTATACATCTTCTCTGCATCACTCTGAATATGGTAAATGACCACAGAATAAGCCCATTTCCATTGTCATAAAGGACACAGGTATTTCGAGGTGCAATGCGTCGAAAAATGACATGAAAAAACATATATAATAATGAAACTGGTAATTTTGATAAGCATGTGCCTTAAAAACATGACGCAAGAGAATATGAATAACTTTGAAGTTAACGCACGTATGGTCAAAGCAATGTAAGCCAAACTAATCAATCACCAAACACCAAATCAATATTATAATTATGACAACATTATCATCCCATGGATTCCACCATCATCAAATAGCATCACTTAATATTCCTCCTCATCTTCATCTTCTCTTCATCAAACATGGATTCCCTCTTTATCTATACCATCATTTTTAAGTTATAAACGTTTGATTTCCTTTCTTTGTCAGCATTTCTAATTGAAGATAATAGAGGAGCTGAGGCATGTTTTTATCACACGCCTTTAATAACAATGCATTTTCCAGAATGTATAAACTGACTAGGTAATTATTCAAATGGGAAAAACTTAGTGGTAAGTGTATATGTGTCTGCGGCCATGCACATGTACATTTGGAATTTCAAATGGACGCTCGTTCTGATTCTGAAATTTAATCAGAATTTACAATGCCATCAGAGGATACTTCAGAATTTTGATTTTGCTTCTAATTTGACTTAAGCTCTTTTATAACTTAGTTAAAGCAAAGTGTTACTAAGAGACTTTCAATGTCTACTTGCAAACACAATCAACTTCTAGTTCCCATTTACTTTTAGATCCTGCTACAAGAAACAACTCCCTTCAAAGCATAATTTTCCCTTGCACTCCCTAAATGCAACTGTGAAAGATGAACATCCAGCATGAGCAGGCTGAATTGAAGAAAACTTAAGAGGGTGTAATACATAGATCCTATGCTAGAAGAGATATAGCACAGTATCGGGATGTATAAAGGCCAGTTATATGAGAAAACCACAAAAGCATAATAATTATAATCACTTAGTTTTCATATGTACAGCACACTTTGTTTGGGCAAGCATTGTAAAAGAACTTAATCCTATTAGATGACAACCATAAAAGCATGAAAATTTATAATTAATTATAAAAAGTAGAAGAGTATCTAGATATCATTATATAAACCCGCAACAATATGTCTAGTTAGCTTCTCACCATCAATTTCTGGACTGCACCAGAGTGATATATCATTTGATGCGATAAGTAGCTTGAAGAATAGAAATCCGTAAAGAATTTGGTCACAGAATCACTGTATGATTCTTCATGAACCCATGGAATTGCACGAACAATTACAGTGAAGTGACTTGGATTAGAATGAGAAGCTGTGATATGCGCCAATCTCATTTTTGTGATATTCTTGTATTCCTAAAGACAAAA